ATCTAAGAAATGTTGACTTCTTTCTAGATCGTTTTTGCAGTGTGTTTTAACCAATCCTGTGTGAGATCTTTGGACGTCTCTGAATCCCAAAGCAGTTGTGCAGGAAAGCTTTTCTCTTCCTCTTCTTTCCACCGTTTCAGATGGAAACCGTCTCAAACAGAAGAATCTGTGTAAAGCAGAGGATGATGGCGAGTTTCCTGTGAGACAAACCTTAAAACCTGTTAAATGTCTGATCCTGTGATAAACTTTAAAGTTAAAACATAAACTATATTAAAGTTCTTATTTTATAACTAAACCTGCCGTCTCACTTTGGTTGATTGTGTTTCAGCAATGATAAAATAAACAACTGCACCTTTTTTATCACTGGTTTAATCCAGATTATAGGAAAGGACTCTTTAGTCAAAGCGGCGGACTCCATGATCAGAGCTGTCTGAATAGTGCCTGCAGTAAGGAATTCCTATTATAACTCCTTCAGTTTAGTGAGCTAGAAGAGTCATAATGATTCAAACTAACACATAAAATATTAATATTCACACTTATTTGTGATTTTTGCACAATTATATCTTCATTTATAAACTACCATCAGTCTTTGGACATCATTGCATTTCTGTTTGAATGTTTGATTTTATGCAAAATTGCTATGGTTTGCAATAAATTAGGTAATTTCATTGTTTTATCCAGCAACAGAAATGTATTGCATATGATAGTTATATTGAAGAATTGGATGTGGCTGCAGCAAACAGAAAGAGGCGGAGACTGACCACATTGCAAACCAATACCATATTTGGACGCCATATCCTGTTCCAGCTCTTCATGTTTTGTCTTTGTTGATTAAAAAAAAATCACTGTTGTTTCTAGTTTTTTAAAGATAACGTTTTATAATGCTATATTAAAATACACAAATGTTCCGCATTTAAAAACCCCAATAAAGTAAATAAGAACAAGAGTGCAGTGGAAACAATCCCACCGAGCATAAAGGCCTTAAAAATAAAACATTAATTAATTAATTACGTCCAAATGACGTCCATTAAATCAAGACTCTGATTTAGTCCAGACAGAAGCATGGTTGTGTCATGGGATCTCCAGTGTCACCAATTGGAGAATCTTTACATGGAAAAAATGGAGGAAAAAAAGAGCTTTGGGCACCTTCAAAGAAACACCAGTAAGCCACCGGTTTAGATATCAATGAATGTGACAGCAGAGTCTTGTCCAGAGGAGGGCGCTCTTTTGTGTTGGGTAATGCGTCTGTGGAGAGGTTTGGTTTCTCCAATATAAAGATCAGAGCATTCCTCGCTGCATTGAACTGCAGACACTCTGCTCAGAGTAGATCTGAGGGTTTTCTTCAGCTGATCCAAAATGCTGCAGCCAGAGTTCTGATGAAAATGAAAAAGAGAGAT